ATTTTTGTTGAATTTTATTGCTTTCTATTCCAATTTGTGTCAGAATGTTCTATCGACTGCAAAAGGTTTATGAAGTTATCTTCAGTCAAGCTCTTGTCTACAACAGACGATTCATCCATTCCATCCCATTTTATTTATATCGTTTGACGGCGGAAAATCCCCTCTACGAAAGAGAGAAAAAAAATCGCTTTTTTCACCCCAAAAATTACTCCCGATAATTAAATCGATGGTGACGGGTGCGTTCGGCTCCTTCACAAAGTCTCAATGGTATTCCGAAGACCCCGATGGGCCACAAATTGAAAAAAATGTATAATAAATTCGAGCCTAAGCCCGGTAATTTGAAAGCTCGGCTGGAATTTTACGCCTAATAGAAAATTAATGAATGCAGGATTCCGCATTATTGTTAATTGTGCAAAGTTGGAATTGAAACCGGAACGGGCGGATGAAGCGTTTTGTTGTAGTCCTTGTTACAAGCGCCGTGAATTCACTATTCTAATCTTTACACGTGAATACTACGAAATTCGAACGCAACAACCGATTTAGGTTCTTCTTTAAATGTAATTGGTGTATGTTGTAAGGCTGCGACTAGTTTTAAGCTGGCAAACAAAACAAGTCCGCCCCATCTGTCACGCGAAACTCGCCCTCAAAAACCACATCAACTGTTGCGGGTTTTTGTAAAAAACTTTTCTAGAAAAAATAGTCGCCGATCTGAATTTTGTCACTGTTTCTGAGGTTCAGGACGTTTTTGAGGGGAGTTTCGCCGGTTTCTCGTTTACGCTTAAATATCACTTGTTGTCTATCTTAAGCCTTAATTTAACTTATCTCTAAATGCATGCAGTATTGCTTCGATTTTTACATAGATCTACCACTCCCTCCCACTCAGTCACTTTGAACTTTAAAATTTTTAATTATGGCTCTACAGTTTTGATTTTTGAGGACGTTCGGTTACGGCCTCGCTTGGTTTTCCTTTGATAGAGTATGCATGTAGTCTCATAAAGGTAAAAATATATTATGATTATGCCCAACGCTATGGGAATATTATGTATAATGGATATATCAAAACATTGTTTTCAAATGAGTTACAATTAACACAGATAGATACGACTAGAAACGAGCATTCTTTCCAGAAACGGAGCAAATTTTTGGTTTGGACTTCTGATTTTTGTTATCGTTACGACAGTTTTGTAATACAACATTTATACATTGTAACAGTTAAATACAATTAAAGGAGACGTATAATTTTGACATGTCTGTTTAAATTTAACTACATTCTGGTTATTTTTCGTTTTATTCGACTACTTTGATTATTGACAATTTTGGAAAATCGGCAGCACTTTTTTGATAGAGGTGCACGATCAACTCACACAGAGAGAATATAACCCTCCAATTTCCTTCTTTATTTATACATACATACAAATACACAGCCACAAAAGACACTATACTTACGTTTTCGTTTTACTGCCACTTCCAAAATTCTAATTATAATCTAACATTTTTAGTTTGTATCAGTAAATGAATCAAACTTTTTATAGCCTTAGAAATTTTCCAAAATGTGTTGTTTTTAAATATCTAAATCAACATTAGTGTGACTGCTAATCAGTGGTATTTAGAGACGATTTAAACAGACAGGTCCACTATGGAGCATGCAAGAACACTAGGTAACAGTTAGTGTAACATTCAAAATACAATGACTTTGGTCCGTTTCTGAAATTGTACATTTTTAAGTGTTACAGCAAACTCTGTAAATGCAAAAATAATAATCTTTCAGGCTGGTGGTTATACTGGTAACAGTTAAAAATTGTCGCTTTCCAAAATTATTCGTTGTACAATTTTGGCCATGACTCGTAAAACATTGACTACACCTAATGGAAACATTGTAAACGAAATAAATATAAATAAATAAATTAATTAAATAAGACCTGATCGACTTTAAAGGAATGTGATTTTTTAAGATTTTTTTATATTTTTTTAATTAATATAGCTTTGTTTAAAAGCTGTATGACTAGATAAAATTCCTACGTTCCTACTAATATATCTCACTTGATTCAAGGTCTTAACGAATTGGAACTATACAGGAATATAATTTAATACGAATTGACATCTACGACTATGAGTTCGTTGCTTTATTAATTCTGGTAAGTTTACGTAGTTACGTACGAATATTAAGCGCTTTTCGGTACTCGAGTATTGCTTTTTATTGCATGGCATCATCATGCCGCAACTTTTTATAATAAAATTTCAATTTTTATTATAATACACGATTTATTTACAGGACAACTTAAATGACAAACTTAAAGATTTAGTCAGGAGCGACTCTTGTTCGCTGCGATATGGGGGCTATATATTAGGACGGTTTATTTTCAGAGTGGTCTTGAATGATAACGGAACTAGTAGTTTCTTTTTTTTTAATGAAAACTATAATCATTCGCTTGAACAAGAGTCGACTTGGCTAAAGCTGGAGTTGCGGTTTAAAATTTCCAATCTGAAAAAATTTGCGAGGCGGGCAGAAGCATTTCGGTTGGTTTTCACTACAATATTTTTGTAACTATACGAGTTATATGTAATATTAGTTTTATAAATTGTGTTAAGTTTGATATTTATTTCAACTGCATTGAACAAAGTCTATGTATGTGCAACCACCATCGAGATATGTATTACAAAAATGTACTGATAAATTTTGCGCTGCTTGTTCGATATTCTTTGCTTGGGCGGCTAAATGTAAATGATGAGTTTGTATTAAAATTTCGTAGTCAGAATAGTTAGTAACAAAAAATGATAACAACAAAGTGTATATTTATCGTTTCTTAGCCTAAGTTTGTACCAATGGTGGGTAACTAACAAATACTACTGTAAAAAAATATCAGTAAACCTGTTACCCTGTATTTATGTTTAAATATATTTTTTGTATGTTTATCTCTATTCAGGTACATTAAAATCGAATAGCGTCAATTAAATATACATCTCAATGAACTTAGATTTAATTACTAGACATTTTTTATTAAGAAGTAAGGAACTTAGTTATTAACTGACAAGATGTTGAAATCTGGTAGGTAATATTCGTAATATATTATTTTCATCGTAATTTAATAATATATTAATAAATCTATGTTATGTCAGGAACACCATAGATATGTCAGTATTTTTATATGGAATCTAAGTTAAAAAGTGGAAAAATAAATCTGGAAGTTTAGTTATAAAATAATTGGACTTTACGATGTATAAAACCATAAGAATTACAGTGATATAATCTTAATTGAAAATGAAATTTGCGGGAAATAGTTTTGCATAAGCCTGTAAATAAATTCTTGTTTTCATAGCCTTAAGTTATAGGTCGTATAGCAGCCTTCAGCATGGCTGTTTCAGGAAGAATGACTAATAAATAAACAAAAGTATGTAAACATGCATTATCTGGAATTTATTGCATATATCCAGTTATGTAGTTAAATAAGACTATTAGTTTTCAGATTCTGAAGTTTTAGCTGAGTTAACACTTATACCGGGTGATTTTTAAAATTTCTGCTCTAGTTAACCATGACGCGTTAGGGCCAGCTAGAGCAGAAATTAAAAAAATCACTTTATTTTGGACAAATTAAGGGTGTAGCATAAAAAGACATAATTTAGATTTATTTTGCAGCTCTCTAACGGTAAATAATTTCCATACTATGGTGGTGATGGTAGAATGAAATGTATGCGAGCATGAAAATATGTAAAACCTGGTTACACTTTTCTTATCTTTAATTGTTATGTAGTTCTGAAAAAATATTGCTTTATATAAGAAAGAAGCTCTAGAAAAGAAGTTAGTTAACACAACGACTGAGCAATGTTAGACCAAAAAAATGTCAATTTTTCTTTTCATAATTTTAAATCTCATTCTTTCTGGTGGCTTTTGTATTCTACTTAAAAACGTTCAAAATACTAAACTAAACTAGTTAATCTCTTCCCGATGTCAGTTTTCAAAATATTGAATTTATTTCATAGTTAGATTCTACACAGTTTGTCAAACAGAATCTATTAATACGTGCTGTCAAATTGACAATTTATTCAGTAAAAATTAGATTAATATTGACTCATTTAGTTTAACATATGACAAGGGTACATGTGCTCATGGGCAAGCACCCTTTCATTAAATTTTTAGTGCATTTAGATTTCAATTTGACAAACTGTATTAAAGAGATATTTTCGGTAAAAACTGAAAAAGTTTTTCCCAGGAATAAAATTCTGCATTTTTGTCTTGATTTCTAAGAAAAACAGAATGGCAGTAGTAAAGCTTGAATGAAATTAACCAAACTAGTGTTTTCTTGTTTTAGCTGTTTTTATACAGGGTGTTTCATTTTAGCTGATTGATAAAATTAGGCAAAACTGACTGTGGAAATAGTTCTTAAAATCGTACTGACTAATATATTTAATTTATATTTCACGTAGAAAATAAAGCCAATAATAATAAAACAAAAAATTCGTCTGTTATACGTTAGAAAACAAGAAATTTATAATTAAATTTTGACATTAATTAATTCTCAATATTTTCATTCTTGGATATTTTTCGTGACAGCGTTTTGATAGTTTTACCTTAATCATTTATTTCGTGGTCTACTATTGATTAATATTGTCAAATGTAATGTATAATAAATAAGCATAACTTCTCAAAATAATAGTCAAAATTTTAAAATTTAAAGTTGTTTTATATAAATTCGAGTCCTTTTTGGATCTAAACTTAAAGCGGGTTTACATTCAACGATATATGTTATGAACCCTCTTCTGATTCAGTGTCAATTCAAATTATCCAGCAATTGATGACGTCATCTCAAAATTTTAGCGGGTAAATACTATTTAAATTTTATAAAATAATATGTTCCTGGGTTTATAAAATCCTATCCTATCTAGGCCAAACAATATGGGTCTACATTTTTTAATTTTCACATAGAGAATGTTTCAGAAAAATTAATTAATATAGTAATTTATTTTATTAAATAAATTAAAAATTCTGAAATTTTGTAGTATATTTAAGCAACTAGATTTATTATATTATGTTTCAAAAACAAGAAAAGTTTTGTTTAAATAATGTTTTTAAATATAGGTTCCACAAAAAATTTTGTTGCTGATTTAACATGTAACACCACTGTGACAGTTGACTTATTAAATTTGACAATTCAGTCCCATGCGACGCAGAAGTAACTACTTTCGACTCACGTAAATATTTAGTAGTAAAAAACACATAGAATAAACCCATTTTAGGACATAACGAGTGTGAATTGTGTTGAAAAGGTCATCAAGTTGGTGTTGTATTTTTGATAGAAGAAAACATTGTGAAGAACGTATGTGTTTTATTAACCCATACTGCTGTGTAATTGACATTTTGACAGAGTTGTTGAAAAGCGTTAATTTTATTATACGGAAAAGTGAGGTTATTGTAGACATATTTCCGAAAAATTAAAGGTCAACTTGATGACTTTTTCAACACCCGATATACCAAACAATTACGTCATCGAAAATTGGTAAAAATTCGTGCTCATTTACAATTCATTATGTATAAATAATAAATTAAATATTAAACTCCAAACCAATTTTTAAATCTGTCAATCAGGAATCTTTTTTAATCACTAGGTGAGAGAAGTCACATGAAACCCAAAGGCATGGTATTTTTTTCTACAACTTCGCAATAAACGATTCCGGCATCAAGGACGGCTTTGAAATTAAAAAAAATATTCAGTTGTACTCGTGTAATTGGTTATGTCCGATAAGCTCGATGGTAAGAAGGCCTTAAAGAACTCGAAAAAAAGTGGTTAAAACAATTCCTGAACCAAATTTTTATTAATTAGGATTTGTTTTAATGAACAGCATGTCTAGCAGACACTTAAATAATTACTTATTAATTATAATTTAATAAGAATTTGCTAGAATACGATCCAGAACGTCATTTTTTACTGTTGATGGACGTCATTTTTTACAATTTTTGCCAGAATTTTAGACTGTCAATTAAATTGACAGAATTATGAAGTTAATTCTTCATTTTTGAAATTTAACATTTTCAAAAATTTGGTTTAGGGATTTTTTTAACATTTTTTTAACTTCTTCATGGCCCTCGTAACAACAATCCATCGAGCTTGTCCGTCATTTTTTAAACACCCTTAAACTTTTTCCGAAAACATCCAAATTTTAATTAGCACTTTTACGATTTGAATCTTTTATCGGATGAAGCAAAATATTGAAATAATGCAATTAATTAACATAGTTGTCATAATTCAGCCAAATTAGGGAAGGTCATTTTCAAAGAGTCTACTTCACAAATGTTTGGTGTAGGATCGTTGAAAATAAAATTTGAAAATCGACAAAATTTGAAAATCGACGAAATTTATGGTTTCAACAGAAGATGGTTGCCGGATTAAAATTTCTGAAATTACTATGTATAATAATGTTTTTGATAAAAAATAAACACATCTACTAATTCTTTAGAAATATAGCCTGGGTTATATTTTCAATTTTGTCAGCCTCACTATTACTCTGAATCACCCTGTAGACGCATTTAGGACAGTGTTTGTTTTATAGGATTTTGTAACTCTCTCATTCCCTTATGACAAAAAACGGTCTGCATTTATTAAAAAAAAATGTGAAATAACCCGATATAATGTTGAAAAACCCTTTCAAAAATTAGCATATATTGTAGAACTTATTTTCCGAAAAAACCGAAAAATCTAGAAGGATTAAGTTTAATTTCTTATGATTCCGTAAAGCATGTAAGTAATTTTATTGATCATCTTAAATGAAACACCCCTTACTATATGCACGAAATAAATATCTACTATCATTTTTGAACACTAACCAAAACCTCTCGATTAATTTTGAAGTAACAAACCTTTCCAAAATTTGCACTCGTATTTACAAAAACCATCCCCTCTACACTTCCAGCATCACTTTTACCAAACCGAACCATCTCCTGCCTGCGCCCCTTCGAATTTCTCCTCGTGAACAAAACAAAAGCCAACATCGTCAGCAACCGTGTAGTCATAGCGTCAATTTAAGTCTGCGTCGCCGTGTGCACCGTGAAGGGCGCGTGCGGGTGGTGCGCCATCACCGCCTTCTGCTTCTTGGCGTCCCACACCATGCACGCCGTCTCCGTGTGCTTGTTCAAGTACGACTTGAGCGCGAACGTCTTGTGGCACTGCGGACAGCTGAAGTTTTTGTCGCCCGAGTGCGTCTGCATGTGCGCCCGCAGGTTCGACCGGTCCGCGAAAGCCTTGCCGCAGTGGGCGCAGCCGTAGGGCTTCTCGCCGGTGTGCGACCTCAGGTGGCCCTGCAGCAGCCACGGCCGCGAGAACTGCTTACCGCAGATGCCGCAACTGTGCGCCAGCTTGTGCGTGAGCAGGTGCATGGCCAAGGCCGGCATGCTGACGTAGGCCTTGCCGCACGTCATGCACTTCTTCGCCGATTGGGAGTCCAGGCTGCGGTGGGTCTGCTTGTGGCGCGACAGGTTGCTGGAGGTGGCGTACTGCCGCCCGCACTCGCCGCACGCGTAGCGGCCGGACTTCGACGAGTCCGCGGAGTCGGAGAGCTCTTGCTCGGCGACGTCGTCGGGGTCGTCTTCGACGACTTTGTAGAACTTCTGAAAGGGAGAAGGTGAGTTAGTAGAAATTGTAAAGTGAAGAACTCTTCGAAGGTAGCGGTTCAAAAGATAACAAATTATCTATTGTTAAGTTATTGATAATAATTATGCGGGTTTTTTTTAAGTCCTACTAGTTTTTGGACGACATTGTGAGGTACACTAACCCTAATTTTTAAGAGGGAAGGGCTTAGGAGAGATTTTTTTTAAGATCATTAGAATTCCTCTTAATATTAGAGTTCCGTTAGGTCAGGTCAGGTCAGGTCAGGGTAGGTCTGGTTAGATCAGGTCTGGTTAAGTCAGATCAGCTATGTTACAAGGTATACCAATAACAGGCAAGGGCTTAAGAGATGATTTGTTTAAGATCACTAGAATTCCTCTTGATGCTAAAGATTCGTCAAGTCGCGTTAAGGCAATGAGGAAGGGTCAGAAGTGCGTTTTCGAAATGATAAAAAAACGTCATGATGACATGTTTTTATATTTCGGAAATTTAGGTAGCTATTAGGCATGTACCGGCTGAAAGTTTGGCCGACTAACCGACTAGCCGATTGTTCGTTTGTTTTTTTATTTCTCTTGCCTACCTCCAGGGGCGGATGGTAAGTACTACACATATAGAAATCGGTAATTTTTTAAAGGCGCCGGCAGCCAGGGCAAATTTGATATAAATATTTTAAATGAAGTAAAATTTCGGTTTTTCGGGTACCGGTCTAAATTTTTCCCGCACTGGTTTAGGAGGTCCCATCCGTGCCTGATTACTGGATTCGGAGATTCTTTCAAATTAAGTACTTCAAAAAATAGACATATGGAATCCTCGAGTTTTTTCTAATTACTTCAAAAAACAACATCAAAATTATTTGGAAACTACTTCAAAACCAAAACAAAAGTAGTATCCGAGATTCTTTCAAAGTACTTCAACAATTAGACATAAGAGGCTTTCGAAGTTTTACTTCAGAATCGAAAAACTAAACTAAAACAAACATCCCCGAGATCCGCTACTTGAAAAACCATACACAAAGGCTCACCGAGATTCTTTCAAACATCAAACACAAAACAAAAGAGGCTTCCTAAATTCTTTCAAACTACTTAAAAAACCAAAATAAATGGGGTCACTGAGATTCTTTCAAATTATTTCAAAAACCAAATAAAAGGGCCCCCTAAATTCTTCTAAATTACTTCACAAAGGAAAATAAAATGGGTCTCCGAGTTTCTTTCAAACCACTACAAAAATCTTTAAAATTACTTCAAAACGGAAACAAAAGGAGTTTCCGAAATTTTTCCAAACTACTTCACAAACCACATACAAGAGGTCCACCCTGAGATTCCTTCTAAAACAAAAGGGGTCAGCAAAATTCTTTTCAACTACTTCAAAAACTAGACAAAAGTGGTTTCCGAGATTCTTTCAAATTATTTGAAAAACAAAACAAAATGGTTTCATACTACTTCAAGAAGCAAAACAAAATGGGTCCCAAGATGCTTTCAAACTACTCTTTAGACCACGCACGAGGGATTCCCAAGATTCTTTTAAACTACTTCAAAAACCAGGCATAAGTGGTCCCGAAATTCTTTAAAACTACTTCAAAACCAAAACAAATTGTGACCCCGATATTTTTTCAAGCCATTTCAAAAACTGTATACAAAGGCTCACCAAGATTCTTCCAAACAACATCAAACACAAAAAAAGTCTCCGCAGTTTTTTCAAACTACTTCAAAAACCAAAATAAAAGTGGTCATCGAGATTCTTTCTAATTACGTCAAAGACTAAACACAAGGGCTTCCCTAAATTTTTCCAAAGTACTTCACAAACAAAAATAAAATGGTTCTCCGAGTTTCTTTCAAACAGCTCCAAAAAACAGGCACAAGAGGTCCCCGAGATTCTTTAAAACTAGTTCACAACCAGAATAAAAGGAATCTCCGAAATTCTTCAAACTACTTCATAAACCACATACAAGAGGTCTTCGAGATTCCTTCAAACTACTTCAAAAACAAAAGAGGTCACCTACATTCTTTTCAACTACTTCAAAAATCAGATAAAAGGGGTCTTCGAGATTTTTTCAAATTACTTCAAAAGCGAAACAGAAAGTCTGTCCTAAATTTTTTCAAACTACTTCAAAAAGCAAAACAAAATGGTTATCCGAGTTTCTTTATAACTGCTCCAAAGACGAGACACAAGGGGTCCCTAAGATTCTTTAAAACTAGTGCAAAACCAGAACAAAAGAAGTCTCCGAAATTCTTCCAAATTACTTCATAAACCACATACAAGAGGTTTCCGAGCTTACTTCAAACTACTTCACAAACAAAAGGGGTCAACTACTTCAAAAACCAGACAAACGGGATTTTCGAGATTTTTTCAAATTACTTCAAAAACAAAATGGGTAACCTAAATTATTTTCAAATACTCAATAACCAAACAAAAGGGGTTCCCAAGATTCTTTCGAACTACTTCAAAAACAAAACACAAAGGGTCTCCGAGATTTTCCAAATTACTTCAAAAACGAAATAAAAGTCTTCTCCTAAATTTTTTTAAACTACTTCAAAAAGCAAAACAAAAAGAGTCTCCAAGATTCCTTCAAAGTACTCTACAAACAGGCACAAGCCATCTCCAAGATTCTTTTAAATTACTTCAAAACCAAAACAAATGGAATTCCCAAGATTCTTCCAAACTACTTCAAAAACCAGACACAAGTACTCCCCGAGATTCTTTCAAACTACTTCAAAACCAAAACAAAGGAAGTCCCCGAGATTCTTCCAAACTAGTTCAAAAATCAGTCACAAGAAGTACCTACTCGAAATTCTTTCAAATTACTTCAAAGATAAGACATTACGAGCAGGGGCCGATTTAACCATTTGGAAACCGGGAATTGGTACCAAAATAAATAATAAAGACCCATTTTCAAGCGAGTTGATATAAAGACGTCGGAAAACGGTGTTTCTAAGTTAATTTGAAATTGGCACCTATTCATTGTATTTTAATTTTATTGAAAAAAAAAGACTGACTGATCCACTTTTTGCCAACTGGTGGTCAACTGTCAAGCTGATTATAAACTTACTAGTCGGTAAATCCCTTATACCATGTGGTAAAGTTGCTTTTTTCACTAGCGTAGACCCGGAGCTAGTTGAAATTACTCGAAATATTTTTAGATCATCTGCGAATATCAGGCATTTACTGTTTTCGAAGGCTCCTGTTATATCGTTAATCAATAAAGAGAAGAGAATTGTACCAAAATGAGATACTTGTGGCACACCCGGTGAACACGACTTTATACCTTGTCGTTTAACAAATTGATTACGATTACTTAAATGAGATTTAATCCACTCCTCCACTCGAGACCAAATTTGTGGACAAGTAAAGAACCATTTACAGAATCAGTCAATATTGTACTTATTAGTAGTTTATATAGATGTCTCGAATAATTTTCTTCTGTAAAGCTATTTTTCGTACTTGTCTGTGTCTTTTAAACTTTGATGAGATCACGTATATTTAAAAATTTCGGAACGCGGTTTTCACCCCAGTTTTCAAGTTACTCTAGAAACGACTGGAGACATATTACTACACAGTACTGTTATTATTATTAGTCTTACAATAGTCCTATTCAAACTAATATACATGTTGATGACGTCATAAAAAAATTTGTTACAAAAAAACTTACTTGAAACATAACCATTGCATGTTTCTTTATCAGTACTTTAATAGTCCACACATAAAAAAAACTAAAATTAACAAATTAAAATTGTTATCATCTCAATTTGTTCTCCTGTACCTCAAAGGCAAGTTCTCTCCAAATAACTTGAGACCAGTTTTTTAAGGTTACACTAATTCTTTTGGTGTATGGAGCACAGAGAAACCGATCAATACTCTGTACAAAGATCAAAGTTTCAACACAATTTTTAACTTTTTGCGCAAAATCTAAGGGAAAGAACTTGTCGGAAATTGTCCAGAAACATATTGGTCTGGGACATTGCATTTTTTATGGCGTATGGAAGCGGCTGATGCATTATACATCTCGCTGGTATCAATACATTTCGTGCTATGCCTAAGAATATAGCGATATTTCTGGAATTGCCTGATCCCTCCCGGTATACAGGACACTGTTTTCGACGGTTGTCGGCATTACTTTTAACATACTACATATAACTATATTTTGAAACTTAAACGCCAAATTCGAGCGTGGTAGCTAAAGTTATGTTTAAGAATTTTTACAAAATAAAGAATGAATAGTTTGAAAAATCCAAAAAATAAGTAAGTCAGTAGCAGAAAATCACTTAGAGAATATGAAAGTAACGTACCTAAAGAGGTTGAGTTAAAATTGTGCTACTTTCTGCAGAAATAAGTGTAAAATCACTGCATAAACTGAATTATAAATGCAAGGTGATTATAAAAGTACTCCGTTTTCATTAGGTGCCAGAAAAGAACAAAACAATCATTTAAACAACCCTGTTTTTAAACGGCCAAACCGCTGGAGTTTATTTTACACAGCAAGCGAAAATACCTACTCAGCATCTACATACATTACAATCTTGCATAATCATTGAAGCAGAAAACACACCGAGGACCAATAAAAGTGACAATTGCCCTCGTTGCAACCGTTTTAGCAAAACAGATGTTGTTTCCAAGTCCAGGTTATCAAGGGATTAATATTCACTTCAGTGGAAGTTTCAGCTTACATGCGAGCAATTTTTAACTTGCTTATATTCTATGATTTTGGAGATAGTGTTCAGGAAATCGTTCCAGTTTTTAATTATAAATCAGCACGCGAAGCAAGATTTATAACCATTGTTTATTCCATAACGGCAGTGTTTTACAGAAAACTGCCCATTAAAACTAATGCGGACTCAGTTTTAGGAGTTAATGTTAAAGAAAGAATTCCGATTTGTTTTTGGCGGAAATAGCAGCTAAAACGTGAACGGTTAATTTATGGGCTACACATAAACATCAAGAAACCATCAACAATAATACGTATGTGCAGTTTAACAGTAAATGCTAAATTATATCTATAGGTAGCAAG